GCCGCCTCCGCCAGGGCTACTACTGGGGTCAGCAGCGGAGGGATGTGGAGGACTTTTGCCGCAGCTGTGATGCATGTTCCTCGCACAAAGGGCCACAGGACCAGTCCCGGGCTCAGCTTCAGGAGCAAACCAGCAGGAGCTCCAATGGAGCGAGTAGCTGTGGACGTCATGGGCCCATTTCCTCGTACAGACAGAGGAAACCGCTTTGTCCTTGTGGCCATGGACTATTTTACCAAGTGGCCGGAAGCATAGGCCATCCCAGATCAGGAGCCTGAGACTGTCGCTGATGTATTAGTGGAGGGGATGTTCAGCCGCTTTGGAACAGCAGAGACCCTCCACAGTGACCAGAGGCGTAACTTTGAGTCCAAGGTATTTGCTGCCATGTGTGAACGCCTTGGGATTAAGAAGACCCGCACCACCCCACTTCACCCCCAAAGCGATGGACTGGTGGAAAGGTTTAACAGGACACTGGCCCAGCAGCTAGCCATCCTTACCTCAGAACACCAACGGGACTGGGACTACCATCTTCCCCTTATCCTCATGGCCTACAGGTCGGCAGTGCAAGACTCCACCCAATGTACGCCTGACCCGCTCATGTTAGGGAGAGAGCTGAGAACTCCTGTAGAGTTGGCTTTTGGGAAGCCCCCGGATGCGCCAGAGGCACCACCAGGCTGGGACTACGCAAGGAAGCTGCCACAGAGACTGTGTTGTTCCCTCAGGGACGAGGAACTTATTGCTGGGGGGGCAGTGTAACGATGGTTAAATTTTATTTTACAGTGACATGTTGGTTATCTCTGCACACTGTTGTTATTTCTTTAAGATACATGTTTAGTTGTGCTGCAGGAAAAAGGGAGTTAATGTGTGCAGGAAGGGGAGGGGGGTCCTTGTTGTTGTGTGACTGTGCGGGGCTGAAGTGAGGTGTTGTACGAGGGCACTCTCCCCGGAGTTAACGGCCCGTTCCGTGTTACCGAATAAACGGACAAACTGAGATCCAAACGTCTGGTTCTTGCGAACGTTACAATAATATTTCTGCTATTTTATAGGATTTGTGCTAAATATAGTATTTCTGACAAAACATAGTATTTCTACTAGATATAGTATGTCTGCTTTATTAAAGTATTTCTACCAAATCATAGTATTACTGCTAAATCATAGTATTTGTGCCAAATAAAAGCTGCTAAATTATAGTATTTGAGTGAAATTGTAGTATTTTTGCTAAAACAGAGTATTGCTGCCAAATCATAGTAGCGCTTTATGTACAAAGAACTGTCTATTCTACTACTTATTGAAGAAAAAGAATCCACAAAAGATTATTTTTACTTTCTTTTATTTGTTCCAGATAAATTATAAATTATTTTTTAAAAAGCAATGAAATGCATCAGATGTCTCCCATGCTTTCTTTTCTGCTGTAATTTTTTTTTCTTGAACATAAATTGGCCTATTGAAAATAAAATGTAGTAAGAAACACTACATTTTTTCAATAGGTCATTTATGTTTAAGAAAACCCCAACAATCAAATGATCCCATCTGAGCAAGCACTGGGCGACGGTGGGAAGGAAAAACTCCTTTGTCTTAAAAAGAAGAAACCTTCGACAGAACCAGGCTCAGATGGTGCGGCTTCTGTCAAGACCGGTTGGGGGTGAGGTAGTTAAAAAACTACTCTAAAGGTACAGCACTACAGCTTTTTGATGGAAATGGGTGGAAGGGTGGGTATTACACCTCGTTTCATTGGAGGTCTTACAGGTGGTCGGGGTGTATATTCAGCTTTTTTACAAATCAACGGCGGAGGGACAGGACTAGGTCGTGGAATTATAACTGGTTGGGCGGGAATAGGTTGCTTTCCACTTATGGATACAGGTGGAACACAAATCATATGAAAAGGTCTGTTAGTTTGCTTTTTCGTTGGTTGTGTGACTGGAGGAGCGGGTGTCAACTTTGTCTTTTTTGGTCTAATGGGTGGCAGCGGAGTCTGCTGTAACTGTTGTTGATCAGATGTATCTTCCCTGCTTACGTAGATGTATTTATGTTCCTCAAAAATGGCAATGTTTTTTTCAAGCTTACTCATTTTCTCCTCGAGAAACTTTTTGTAATTGTATTTGGTGTATTGTGAAGGGAAGAGAGCAAAAGGGAGGGATTGATACTCAGAGTTTAACTCATTAAACCTCCTCTTTAGGCCCTTGAGAATGTTTTGTTTCTCCTGTTCGGGCAGTGGTTTAACTGTTTCCCGTTGTTTTGTTAACCAGGCATCATTGTCCTGCTTAGGCTTTTCTTTCTCTGCGTTTCTTCTACGCAAGTAGCCTGGAACGATTCCGTAATCATTTTTCTGTAAATAAAAGGGGACAAATCCTGATTTCTCAAGGAGCTGCTTGTCCCTTTTGCCTGTGTCCACACAAGCAGGTTGAGGGATGACTTTCTTCATGCCTATGTGTTTTGTTTTTTTCCTGAATGTGTGTTCAGGTTTTTCGCCTTCTGGCCTCTGTGGGCACATTTCGCGATGAGATGGGGCCTTAACTGTTTCTGGACCCATGGTCCTGTGTTGGTGCTTATGTTGTTTATTTATCAATAGAAATACTTCCCTATATTTAGATATATACATTTTAGGTTTGTGTGGAGAAGCATGACTCTCCTTTGGGAGAATGTTATATGCGCTTTCTACTGGAAACATAATTCAATCGCTAGATTAAAATCACCTGCAAGGGAATTCTACAATTGTGTGTCGAGGCACCCCTATTTATGTGCTTTTATGGCCTTGCATGTGACATCTGCCTTTGATCTGTCATTTACCATGCATGTGACATCACGGTAACCTGTCTTTGTTCTGTCATTTAAGCCCCACCCCCTGGTTACTGTTGCTATTGTAACTATTATATTATGAATGCTGGTAGCTAGCATTCCACACACACACACATACCTTTTGCCCAGTTTCCTGCTGCAGTCACCAAGACATGTTAATATATTTATTAATCAGCACTTTTAATTTGTTTACTTTTCCAAATGGTTAGTTCCTTATCAAATACATTGTTTCATCCATTTTATCTGTGATGGCATTCGCTGGTAAAATCATCTGTGGTGTCTTTGAGGGAAAAATGATGGGAAAGAGCCTTTCCACTCCTGATGATGCACCAGAACAAACGCAGCAGTGTGTGGGGAAGAAGAGCCAGCAGTCAGCTATGAGTTGGAGAGAATAGACAGGCTGTCCTCTCTTTGTGAAGGACTGATAGAAAAATTTCAGCACATACAAATTTGTTGACAAAAAGACAAAGAAAGGATTTTAAACTTGTCAAGTTTCTTGTCGTCATTGTCCATGTTCACATGCAGCAACACAGAAAGCAGAGCTAACCATCACCACATAGTGACTCTTTAATGTGTTCACTGAATACATTTAGCTGTGTCTGTGGGAAGCTTGGGGGTGATCTTTTCACTGCACTCACTTTATAGTAGCTGGCCAACGGCCTTTTACTAGAACTAGTATGAATCCCCTCTGTGTCACACCCCCCACAGTCATTTTAACGGGTGAAAAGAAGCAGCTGGTAACTCCACGTGTTCCAGTGGAGATGCTCCTCCAACTTGGCCAACAACGAGCTTAGCAGTGACACAAACTGCAGTCCATTGAAGTAGCTGTTTGAAAACCAGGAAAAAAACCCAAAATTAAACCAAAAGGCAGGTAGTAGTTCAACTGTTCCATATTGTATAGGATAGGTTTCCGCTATCGCAGGAATGAAAAGATGCTCCATGGGACGTTTTCACAGTGCTTACTGTGAAAGTAAAGAGAATGCACCATGGACATTACCTGTCTGAATAGATTTGTCTCAGTGATGCAAGCAAGTGACCTCTGGCTCACTAACCATCACTGTTCCTCTTTCTCAGGGTCTCCCAGCCTACGACACTCCTGAGGTGTTTGGGCTGCACCCAAACGCAGACATAACCTTCCAGAGTAAACTGGCTAAGGACGTACTGGATACCATCCTCAGCATTCAGCCAAAAGACAGCTCATCAGGCGGAGGAGAAACCAGAGAAGCTGTAGTGTCCAGGCTGGCTGACGACATGCTGGAAAAACTGCCTCCTGACTACGTACCTTTTGAAGTAAGCCTATGTGTATTTGCTTTGCAGAGTGAAGTGTGCAAAGCAACATGTGCAATGTCACTCCACTCACCTTGTGTGCTGTGTGCTCCTCGTGGCTGGTGCAGGCGGAGAGGTGGGGTGTAGTGTTTTTGACAGTAGAGTGTAAAGAAGACCAGAAATAGAAAGGAGTGTGTGTGAATGCAGCTGGATCTTGTTTTATTTCGGTGGATGTGTCTCTACTTTTTTTTTTTTTTTTTTGTCGCTAAGAAAAAAAATGAGGTGAGAGTGTGACTTTTCTGAGGCGAGGTGCAAAGCTCATCATGGAAAACTGTCACCTCACAACACACCCCGCGAATGACGCTTTTACTGCTGCTTGTGTCACTGTCTCTTCACACAGGCCTCCAAAATAGGAAAAAATATGTTTTTTTAAAAGATGTTTTAAAATGAATACAGCCTGCATGTGGAGCAGAAAGGCCCGTCAGAAATACAGAATATCTTCATTCCTATATTTGTTTCATTTTCAGTGAAGCAAACATGAATTCACCAATACTAACAACAGTAGTAGCTACAAACATGAAAAATGCAGCATAAAGCTCCACTTTAAATACAGTTTTTCCAGAGTAGATATTAAACTTTAGTGATCCCAGGTACATTTCCACATAATGAGATTGTGTGTTTTTACACATCTCTGTTGAGATAATCTTTTCTGCCTTAATAAAACCAGGTGAGAGAGCGTCTTCAGAAGATGGGTCCTTTCCAGCCTATGAACATCTTTCTGCGTCAGGAAGTCGATCGGATGCAGAGGATCATAGTTCTTGTCCGAAACACCTTGACAGACCTGAAGCTGGCTATTGATGGAACCATCATCATGAGTGAGAACCTGCGGGATGCCTTGGACTGCATGTACGATGCACGAATTCCTGCACGCTGGAAGAAGGTCAGTTGAGAGAATCACTGTGAGTTTATGTATGGGCTCAAATTGTTGTCATAAATATTTTGTACTTGTAAATCAGGATTTGTATGTGTAAAAAGAATTTGTGTGTGTCTAAAAATGATTTGTATGTGTAAAAAGAATGTAACATTTTCTGTAAATTCTGTGAATCTCGGGCAGCTCAACTTGCCTGAAGTGTTTCCAGCTGGGCACCGTGTACCTGGAGTCCAGTGTTTTAACCGATGCATGAAAC